TATCTGCGTCGACTTCGATTCCATATTCTTTGCAGAGGCTGTAGTGAAGTTGGGTGCATACTCTGTCGTGTCTCTCGATATAGTCCTTTTGGGCTAGAATTGGGCAACCTGATGTTATGTGCTCAATGGTTTCTTCGAACTGGTGACAGATTCTGCATTTGCTATTCACATGTTTCTTGTGGATTTTCCTCTCTCGGTACCTTGTGTTTAAGGCTTGATCCTGTGCCGCTACAATTAGGCTCTCTGTTTCTGCTTTTAGTACACCTTTACTGAGCCAGATGGTAGAGAGATTACTCTCGATAGAGTCATTTTCTAGCATCAGTGGATACTGCCCGTGCATGATCTTTCCTTTCCATTTGGTTCTGATGCTTTCTGAGATTTTCTTTTTGATTTTTTGCTTCCTGCTGTTTATGGGGGCCACTTCAAAGTTTTCTCCGAGCTCGGCTTCAAACTTGTTTGCTTCTTTCGCAATGTGGTCTTTGTCTAGAGCAAGGTTGACGGCATATACGGCTTTGAGAAAAGGGTCTTCGTTTTTTTTTTCCTGGAGGTAGTACTTCGCATTGATGATGGAAGATTTGTATGTTGATTCAATTTGCCTAAGTCCTCGTCCTCCTAGTTTTCTGCTCACGTATAGCCTGTCAACGTCTGCGGATGGGTGGTGCATTTTATGCATTGTCAGACATTTTCTTGTTTTTATGTCTAGCGCTTTTATTTCTTTTATTTTCCAATTCAGAATTGCAAATCCGTACTGTAGAACGGGTACGGCTAGCGCTCCAATTGCAGTTATCTTGTTTTTTGCCGTTAGCTCTGTCTTTAGTACTGCTCTTACTCGTCGTATGTATTCTCTCTTTACCTTTTCTTTCATTGTCTTATGTTGGATACCTATACTTTCTTCCATTCCGAGGTATTTGTATGTTTCACCTGGGTCTAACTGTCGGATGCTGGTGTCGACGTCTATATCCATGTTTTCTCCGTGGATGTATTTACCTTTCTTGAAGGTTACCTTGGCACACTTATCTAGGCCAAATTTCATACCTATGTCGTCACTGAATTCTTTCACCGTTTCGAGTTGATTTTGCAGTTTCTCGTCGCTGCTGCTGAACAGTTTCAGATCATCCATATACAGGAGGTGCGTCAGTTGTTTATGGCCTGCCTTGATGTTATATCCATTGTTCATGTTGTTTCGTCGTGTAGAGAGGGGTATTAATCCAACGCAGAACAGAAGGGGGGAGAACGCGTCCCCTTGGTAGATTCCTCGTCTTATTTTAATTTCAGAGGTGATAATTGTATCTGTTTTTCCTCTTAGTTGGATGCATGTTGACCAGTGCTCCATCATGTTCTTACAGGCGTTTACTATATTCGGGTGCACTCCCATGAGTTCCAGTGCACGGATAATCCAGCTGTGAGGCATGCTGTCGAAGGCTTTTTGGTAGTCCAGCCATGCGATCGATAGGTTCTTCTTGTTCTTCCTGCAGTCCTCAATGATGGTTTTGGATATTAAGAGATGGTCAAGGCACCCTTTAGCTCCTTTGCGGCACACTTTCTGCTCTATAGGGAGTAGTTTGGCACTTTCTAGGTATTTGTACGTTTTTCCGGCTAAGAGTGCCGTGAAGATCTTGTACGCTATGTTGAGGCAGGTTATGGGCCTATAGTTTTTGGGATTTGCCGTTTCTCTATTCTTTGCTATCAGATATGTAGTCCCTTTGGCCAGCCATGGTGGGAATTCTTTCCCGTTCAGTAATTTATTGTACTCGGCTGTCAGGTACTTACGGATGCTAGGGATTTTTTTGAACCAGAAGCTTTGTATCTTATCTGGGCCGGGTGCTTTCCAGTTTGCAAGGTTTTTTATGGTAGTTATCAGTTCATCATCACCGAGATCTGTCCATTCCATTTTGTTGTTCGTGACCTCTGAGTCTTTGATCCACCCAGCCTCCGAGTTGTGCTGAGTAGGGACTTCGTAGATTCCTTTCCAGAACTCTTCCACCTTTTCTTTCTCTGGGGTTTCACCGATGTCGGAGGAGTCACCTTTGATGTTCCTGTAGAAGCTTTTGCAGTTGGTTTCGAAGCTTCTGTTGTGAGAGAATTGATTTGATCTTTTCTGGTATCTTCTTATTCTTTGGCTAAAGACAGCAATACGTTGCCTCAGTTGCTCCATTACATTGTCTATACTGCTTTCTTCTCCTTCCGCGGTGTATTTATCCAGGATTGACTGGACTTTGTGGGTTGTCTGTTGTCCTTTTTCCTTGCACGTTATTTTGAAGTTAGCTAGTACTGAAAGGTTCCTCCTCAGATCTTGGATTCTGAACTCAATTCTTTTTTGCCATAGGGGCTTACTTTCTTTCTTGTTCATTTTAGTTCCTTTTGGGCCGTTCGACTCGTCACTGATTGTGAGGGCTGCAGCGTAGAGCAAGCAGTTGATTTTCCCCAGGTCGAGATTTTCTTCGCTCTCAAGCATATTTTGTACTTCATTGTTAGTTCGCATGATGATTTCTTGGTCTTTTTTCGCCCCCTTTATTTTCCTTATCGGCTCTCTTTCTTCCAGATTCCGTCTCGACGGGCGGTTCTCGTCGTTTGTGGCATCACCTGATGAGCTTTCAGTTGTGTGTTGGTCAGTAGATGCTTCTATGGTGGAGTGAACATCGTCTTTAATTTCTTGAAGCTGTTGTTCGGTTAGTTTTTTCTTGTTCTCGATGTATCTTCGTTGCGTGGCTAGCTTATTAGCGTTGAGATGCAGGCGGGCATTAGGGTTTCGTTGCCTCCATAGCTCGTAGGTGGCCTTTATGTTGTGGATGCCCGTGTTTTCCTTAAAAAACCAATGGCACCATATGACTTCTTTGTATTCCTCTTCGGTCCATTGTACTCTCTGGGTGTGGTTGGCTGCATTATTCATTGTGGTAGGGGAGTTTTGGTTGTTATTGGTATTTTGGGTTTTTCTGGTGACACCCGGTTCACATTGTGTTGCTAGGTTTGCGGCTACATCAGCTTTGATTTCTTCAATTTGTGCCTCACTTAGTTTTTGTTTTTTCGCAATGAATCGTCTTTGTGTGGCGAGCTTGTTTGCATCGATATGCGGGCGGGTGTTCGGATTCCTTTTTCTCCAGAGGTCATAGTTGGCGTTTATATTGCAGCTTTGAGTGCTCTCTTTGATGTACCAGTAGCACCATATTATTTCTTTATACTCTTCTGTGGTCCACTTCACTCGCTCTGTTGCTTGCTTACGCTGTGCGTTTGTGATCTTACCGGCCGGGCTAGTTGGTGGTGGGCTTTGGGCCTGTGGTGTTTGATTCAGCTGATTCTGCTGTTTCTGCGTTCTTTTCCGTGTTGTCCCAGAGACCTGAGTCAATTCTTCTGCATTATCATCGGTTCGGTCGGTTTTTCCTTTGTAGTTTTGGGTTTTTCTTGCTTTAGAGTTGCGCGTTTCCATATTTGTTCCCACGAGTAAGATGAGGATTTAAGAGGGTCCACCCGTAACCTCTTTCCGGGTAAGGCTATATTAACTCTGGGAGGGCGCCTGGTATCCCAGGGCTCCGTAGGTCGACACCAACATAAGCGCCCTGGTGCCAAGGGACCCAATGGGCACGGTTCGCATAACACCCCGGGTTGGGCTTTTCATTAAGTACTCCTTGGCACATAGAGTGTGCGTCCAGAGTAACTCGGGAAAGGAGGTGCGTCAATACCCCAGACCATAGGCAGTCCTCCCTGCAGATTTATTATTATTATTATTATATGCGAAGTTATCTCCAGCTTTGCTGGGTAGTTGGGCTCTCTTCACGTGAGCAAACAATGCTCATTGGTAGAGAGAGTAGAGTGGGTTGAGGCCGGTGTTAACTTGGCTATGAATGGCCAATTTACAGCCGACGATAAGGTTTGCAGTAACCGGGGTGAGAACTGTGTCTTAAGACGCTCACCCAGAGGTTGCTTCTCGTCGATGATGGTGGGGTAGGGGTTTAGGTTGTGGGGGAACAAATGAGTATGGATTCTTTGGTTAAGGTTTTCAACTTAAGACTTTCCTCAGTATCCTAGCAGTTCCAAGGATTGCTGCTTTTTGAGCTGTGACAAGAGAGTGCTTCCCAGGGATTTCTTCCTTAAATTTCTTCCATTCTTTCGAGACTGCTCCCGTCGCACCGATTACAAAGGGTATGACTTTCGTGTCCGTTTTCCACATTCTACTTATCTCGATTTCTAAGTCTTTATACTTGAGTCTTTTTTCGACTTCCTTCAATGATATGTTCCTATCCGCTGGGATTGATACGTCGATAAGCAAGCAGGTTTGCCCCCTCTTTCGCAGGATGATGTCAGGCCTGTTGTTCGGCACCGTCCTATCAGTTCTGACAGGAACATTCCATATGATAGTTGTTTGACCATCATCCGTTGCTGTGATAGCTTTTGGCTTGTGCTCGTACCAGTTTGTTTCGACTTATTATTATTATTATTATTATTATTATTATTATTATTATTCTTATTATTATTTTTATTTTTTTTGTCTATCTCAAAGGATTTCTCTTGGTATTAAGAACCCAAAACGAGTCAAGGACTAGGGTCTTGGGTCCTTTTCATGCCCTAACCATTAAAGTTTGTAAGAATAGGAAATTAAGAAATCGAAAAGAGAAATTCGAGAAATAAAAGAGAGAGGACTGTTGAAGGAAACTCCTAACTATATTGCAGGTGCTAAGAATAACTGACTTCTGCATGGTGTGGAGAAGGTGATCCCTGTTCAGCTCTTTTAGGTGTTTAATCAGGCTCTCCGGTATGACTTCCGTGACGGACATGATGCGGGGTCTAATATGGACAATGTCCATGTCCCAAATTCTCTTAATTTCCATGGAGAAAGGCATGTATTTGGATATCTTTTCTTCATACCTTGACAACAAATTGTGTCCGTTAGGGCTGCTGAAATCTAAGAGCTGCACATCAAGACAATGCAGGGGCGCATACATCCAATTTTCATTGGCAGATCCAGAAAATCAGCGACATTTTCTTTTCTACATTTAAACCTATGGAAATGTATTGATTGTTTGAGGGGCCCCGGTGCTCGATCAAGAATCGATTATTTAGCATAGCTTTAGATGGAGGCAATCCCGTGTTGCCAAATTGCTGGATCCGCCTCTAAATTTCACACGGGAATTTTTAGAAAGTAAAGGTGTTCGGCTTCTTAGGTATCCTCCACACAGCTCAGATCTCGTCCCATGTGATTTCTGGCTGTTTCCAACGCTTAAAAAAGCTCTTTGCAGTCGGAGATTCGGCACAAAGACCGAGATCAGACGGCAGTCCAAAAAACTTTCAAGAACATTCCTAAAGAAGAATTTCACAAGAAGATGCTTGTTAAATGGGAGCAAAGTAGGCAAAAATGTATTAACAGCAATGGGAAATACTTTGAGAAGCAACCAGACAATCTGGTGGAGACGAATGGCAGCAGAACTGAGGACTAAGTCACGGTTAGAATTTTTTTCGTAAAAAACCCGTAGGTGGCACACAAACATCCATCACAAAAACTACCATTACTTCGTCAATGTTTATTCAAATGAAATGATCTTGGTCTCAATCGATAGAAAATGACTTGATCTTTTAAATGAAACCAAGAACACATTTCTAGCTTGTTTCGTTTTGAAATAACAGCATCAGTCCACTTACTTACGGAACACCCTATGTACTAAGATAAAAATTGTACTGGCTGTACATTAAAAATGTACCAGCTGTTGCTCCTTATCAAGCAAGCTATGTCATCGGGCTGGCTAACTCCCATATCTTAGTCCTTTCTGACCTTCTTAGCTCGTTTGAAAGATCGAGCAGAGCTAGTGCTTCTATGTTAGGATGGGAGTGAAGCCGCTTCTCATATCCAGTTGCTACTTTAGTGATATATACTGTAACAATCTCCATTCCAAGATCCCTGTGGATGTTGCTATTTTTCTCAAACCATTGAGCAGAGACAATTGTTCTACGAATTTTCTAATCATTTTTTTTTAAAAAAAAAAAAAATAAAAATTTAATTCATTTTTGCTTTAGTATCAAGTTAACAGAGTAGTAATTCTTGGTTTCCATGGTCTTGGTTTGGTTTGGTTGGTCAACTTTTCATGTTATTTACTTCAGTTTGCTACAAAACTCTTCCGCACTGTTTTCGCAGGTTTAAAATTTAAAATATGCTGCGCCCTTCTGGTAGTGAGTTTTGGAATATATTATGATTTGCACTTCTGACTACCTGCTCTGCCAGTGAAATATTTGCTTTTTTCTAAAATATATGCTGAGGATATTTTATGCAAAACTGAGTGTTCAATTGACAGAAAAAAGGTTCTCCCCATCCCTTGCTTCCTCGCTTTTCCTATACAAAGGTGAACTTTGCGATGGTCACCCTAAGCCGGTCCACAGGAATTTTGAGTCCTTTGTTGTTGTAAATAGATACATACATACTAGAGGATAATAAAAAACAAATGGATACCTTCTTCCTCTATTGGAACTGTGAAGGCAGATAATGTAGCAGAATTCTGGGGCAGCTCAATCTGTTTTGAGGTGGCAGAGACAGTGATATGCTTGATTGGCTTATTCTTTATCTCTTTGGATTCGGACTGCCCTTCAAGATATCCCTACACAAAGAGATAGAAAACAAATTCAGCTGAAAGGAGACATATTCTTACTAAAAATTCCTGTAACCTAAACACAACTATCACATTGAGTCCCAAAAATCTAGGGCTGGGCAAAAATAGTTTTTCCACCTTAAATTGTATACACTTGCTTATACATATTTTATCAGAACTACCTCTTTGTTATTCACTTTGAGGTATAAATATTTCATAATGTTTCAATGAACATCTGATAAGTAAAATTATTGAGTAGGGTGTCCCAAAAAAAAGTCGACCCGCGAAAAGTTGCGTTTTCTAGTAGAAATAAGTTCCATTTGGTTAGAAAACACTTTTGGCCAAGATCCAGATGTTTGGCTGAAGTTTCAGTGCTGCCACATCGCTCATTAATTGTGACATAAGCGATCCTGATAATGGAGATCTTTGACGATTTGATAATTTTTTGTTAGGGACGAAGTAGTCACACTAGAGCCCTGAAAATTTGAGATGGTAGACTCCTAACACATGACTTTGAATATAAATTAAACATTTTGGCGTACAAGACACGCATGTATTTTTTAAAAAATTCGGAAACTTAGACATTTCAGCGAGTTGACTGATTTTTTAATGTTTGAAGGAATATTTCTATCGTCGTAAAAACTTAAGGTAAAGGACTTCTAATATACTACTTTTGATATAAAGTACACATTTGAGCATGCAGGACGCGGAAATGTTTTATAAAAATTCGGAAACTTGGCCAAAAATGCTGTTCTGAAGCAAAGATATATTTTGGCGAAAATTCATTATTTTTCTAAATTTCGAAGAAATACTGCTGGCGTCGTATGGGTCGAAAGTAGTCGACTTCTAACAGCATAGTTTTGACAAAAAGTAATAGTTATGGTCCCAGAGCCAGAAATTTGGCAAATCTATGAACTCACTTAAAAACGTAATATTAGGCTTAAATATTCTTACTTAGAATATTTTTTTTGGCGATCTGTAAAGGATGCAAGAAAAGTCTGCTGAAAAAGTAATATTCAACATGAATAACAAGGAGAGGATGGAATTTTGTTGATAGAGTAAAGAAAAGAAAAATACTTTCTCTACTCTAAGGTAGCAAGGAAGTAAAACAAGGAGATGAAAGATAAAATTCAAACAGGGAAAGTGCGAATATGAAGTTGTCCCGAAAATCCTTATCACTGTATTTGATAAAATTAATGAAGTTTACCTCCGCATTGTGATCGATAACCTGAGGAAATTCATGCAATGTTCAGCAATGTCACCTTTGGATAATAATCAATGCGTAACGCACACTGCAAGCGAATATCGGAATCTAAAACATCTGGCTCTGGGACCAAACTATTACTTTTTATCAAAACTATGCTGTTAGAGGTAGACTACTTTCGACCCATACGACGCCAGCAGTACTTCTTCGAAATTAAACAAAATAATCAATTTTCGCCAAATGTATCTTTGCTTCAGAACAGCGTTTTCGGCCAAGTTTCCGAATTTTTAAATAATACTTGCGCGTCTCGTGCGGCAAAATGTTTAATTTATATTCAAAGTAGTGTGTTAGGAGTCTACTATCTCAAATTTTTGGGGTTCTAGTGTGACTGCTTTGTCCCTAAAAAAAGCATCAAATCGTCAAGAATCTCAATTATCGGGATCTCTAATTTCACAATTAATAAGCGATGCGGCGGCACTAAAACTTCAGCCAAACATCTGAAACTTGCCCAAAAGTGTTTTCAAACCAAATGAAACACTTTTTTAACCAGAAAACGTAACTCTTCGAGGACCGACTTTTTTGGGGACGTATCTGCCAAATTTCACGCGTCTAGCTTCAAAGCAGCCACGAAAATCCAACAAACCTCGGAGGAACAGGGCAGATCGCCTTTTTCCAAGATGGCGGCCAAATTCGGCGATAAAATGGTTGACCATGCTTGGGTCTCGATGAATTTCTATTTTCAACCCACTTATGAATATTCTTGCCAAAATTCAACATATTAACGCATATTCCTGCCGAACATACATCTCAATGGAACACAGCCGCGAAAATCTGATATACGCGAAGATTTGGCGCTGAACCGCTAATTTTCAAAATGGCGGTCAATGGCAAGGGAAAATGGCCGACTGGACTTAAATGTCAATTCTTCCTCATTCTAGACACATTTAAGTACATTCTTGTTAAATTTCATGTCAATAGGCATGTTAGAACGCCTGAAAAATGAGATAATAATGGAAATCAGCTTATGGCGGCCATCTTGGAAAATGGCCGCCAAAATACGGGAAACCATTGAGATCCAGCCTGGATCCATGGATTTTCGTTCTAGGAACCTTAGACTACATTTTCACCAAGTTTCATGCTGGTACCCAATTTGAGCCATTAGGATAATTTTTGACCCTACGCGACCCCACTATAATGTAATACATTGAGCAAAATATATGGTGCCTAAACGCATAAGATATTTGTTTGCCTCAGTTTTAAAATTTAAATTACGTTAGAGGAGATTTTGGTAAAAATTTTAGTATGAATTCCATTTTCCTGAAACTTGATGCATCATCAATTTTCAACAAAAATAATCCGTGTTTTTTGATTTCCCTGACACAAGAATGGCTTGCTAAATAAAATTCCCTGACATTTCCCCGTTTTCCCAGGCACTAGACACCCTGCGCACTGTTGTGTCTCGCTGCTGGAAGTATAATTACGTTCTGTGCGCTTTTGGAAGATATTTTCTTTTGTTCATTTTTTGTCATTGTCCTCATTCTTTCTACAAATTAGCATCATACCTAACTTCTTTAGATTGATTAGGTTATTGAAATTTTAGTCCATCCGAGAATTCATGACTGTTTTATTTCACTCAAAATTCCAATCAAACTTCAAGATTTTGCAAACTTAGAGGTATATTTCTTGAAATACATTGTAGTAAAAGCATATACCTGAAAAACCTACCGTAGGTTTCTGTTAGCTTTTTTATCATACTTAAGTAAAGATTATACAGTCACGTCTAAAGCATGATGTCAATGGATCTAATAGATCCTAATGAATTGTGGAAAAGTTAAGACTTTTAGGGATTGCAGTATTCACTGAGTGGCAACAACAATCAAATATTTAACTGAAAATGCCTCATACTACCAACAAGTCAATTCTGAATATATTGATCACATATCATGAAAAAATTTTCAATAAAGTTTAATGATCAGAATAAATACAATAAAATAGCAGTCATACACAATATTCAATAGCTGAGAAATAGGTGATGCAATCACCAAAATGCTGGCGCGGAGCAAGAAAGTCCTGTGTGCCCCCCACACTACACCGTGAAGCTGGGGGGGGGGGGGGGCGAAGTCCCTCTATTTGCCGGCGCATTTTTAACTACTCATGACCCAACTGCTTTCATGAAATAGTATAACACATTATCCTCTTTTCTTTAAAAGTCTTAATTAAGCGTATGATTGAAAAATTAGGAATGCTTTACTTCATGAGGTTTGACAGGAATTCCCTAGATCTATAAAGCAAACACTCTTTGGAGGCAAAAATCCCATACTCAACAGTTTGAAATGCTTACCAAGTTCCCTACGGATGACAAATGGCCAGGTTTAAGGTTATTAACTTGTGGTAAAGCAGAAATTTCTTGAGTTGAGGCTGCAAAAACAAAAGGAAAAATAATGACTAAAGTATATTATATTTTTAACCACCTTAATTTCTTTCTATAAAATTTAGGTAGTTAATCATATTAATCAACAAACATACCATTTACTAGGTGTTCCAGGCGCGCTTCGCACGCCCTCACAGGTGGGCAAGGGATTCTTCCCTGCCCCTGGTCAGGTCACCGGTTTCGTGGGTGACTTAGAGGCTTGCTTCACAAGTCTTTATGAAGTGATGTCATCGAATCGATTAGTCACTATATTACTTTTTCTTAAATTATTTTTTTTCAATTAATTTATTAATTTTATGTTATTTTCATCTGCCTTTGATAAATTAAAAACATTTATTTGCTGAATAAAGAAGAAAAAAACATGCGTTGACAAAGAGAAAGTATTCTAAATATGTAGGCTTTTATGATAGCAGTTCGTCATAGATAATGTTTTTTGTTAATACATCTGCGCCATGCAGTCGTGCCATTTTAGTGAGCAAACAAACATTTCCTCAGCGAGCGCTACTGCCAGAAAAATCGACAACGCTATTCAAGCAAACGAGCAAAGTGTCTGACAGGACAGGATAAGGATGACTAATAATAAACATAGAAAAAAAATGAGGTGTCTGCATTTTGCGCATCTTTGATTTTTTTGATAACGTCCGTCAGTACGGACGATTTTTATCATCGATTTTCTTGAAGATGGTGTAGTTTATGGAAAAAAGTCAGTCTATATGAAGTGTTTGAAATTATGTCGTTAGTTGATTTAAGCATAGAAATCGGACTGTACAGTCCATTTTTCATACTTCAAATTCCGGATTTTGCTGAAATACCTGTGCCGACATGACAACGTAAACAATCCTCACGATGCTAACACCTCCTTTTTTTCTCTATGAATAATAAGCGAGGTGACTCGGACTGCTCTTGATCATTAAAACAAATAAATATTTTGTTCCTCTGAGGACTGCGCCAGTGTGTGTCTGCGACGAGAGCTCTGCAAATCGTCACCATGGATACCGACTGGACCGCATTGCATCACCGTTATTCCTCTCTCATGGTCAAATCTTCATTCCCATCTCACAGTCAAATCTTTATTTAGGGTTTCATCGAGGTTTATAAAGTAGATATTATTTATATTATTCAAATTACTATTCATAGGACTTCATGAATATTGAATAATTTTTTCAAGGTGGTTTCTTGTAGTTTTGCGNGGGGGGGGGGGGGGGGGGGGGGGCCTAGTTGGTGGGGTTCGGTTCATTTGCAAAATTTTGATTCGGAAATGCCAAACCTTATTTAACGCAGTTCATACTGGTTTAGCTGGCACTCATGGGTTGATCCTTGCGGAATTTAATAATATGCGTAGTCCCAAGTCTCAAACAGAAGCACTACCTACAGAGATTGACCACAGGCTCAGGTATACATCAAAAGCAAATTCTTCACAAAATCTTTTAAAAGACGTCCAAGAAAGGTATAATGCTGTCCACATTAAGATAGATTTAGTGGCTATAATACTTGAATTGTAGGCTGGTTTTCATCAACAAAATAATAAAACTTCTATCTCAAATTTCAAGTGTAACATGGCCTGTTTTAATCATCTCATGCCTTTGAAAAGCAGCAAAACTCAATCCAGACAGGAATCTCTAATTATTATTTTATTCGACTCGATCAATCGGACTATCCACTTGAAAAATCAGTCTATGCTGAGTAAGAGTGAGCCTATCCATTAACTGAAAATACAGCTTACTTGGAAGAACAATAAATGACTTACATGCTAGTGCAGTGCACGCGTCAGATGTGGAATTGTACATGTAACCTTGTCTACACACACAGCTACTTCCATCAAACCCTGCAAACTGCTTACATTCTTTGTTTACTCCACAATCACTGTCATCTGTGCAGATTTTGAATTTCTCTTCTTGAATTTCTGTTTCATCAGCCACTAAGTGATCATTGTAAGTACTGTATTGAATTTGATGAAGATAATTATTCTCATACAAGGAAAATGATATTACAAATAACATTGAAGTAGGTACATTCTAATATTCCGCATGTTCAAAATAACAGAGAGCTTTACTTAATTTGATTACTTGATCATACACTAGAGGTGAGCTAGCTCTGATTAGATCTATTTTCTCTGTAACAAACACTTAATTGTGTTTAGTAACAACAATGCAGATGAAACAGATTATCATGTACCAAAACCTACGAGTTCTTAGTATTCTAATGATTCCAAACTTATCTCCTCTTTTCTTTACACCCTTTCCCCCTCTTTTTCCAAATATATCAGATTTGTGGTGCTTAGTTTCATTTCTTTTAGTTACTTTGAGATTAAAGCCTTTTAATTTTTTCCATTGTATTAAGTTGAGTTGAGTGGCCTTTTTGTTTTTTTTGACTGTTAGAGTGCGGCACATTTTTTTTTTGCATTCTTTTCTCTTTTTCTTATTTTTAAGTTTTTTTCTGTGACGTGCTCACACAAGATTTTTTGTGTATGGCTTTCCTTAGCCTGCCCAGAGCCTAGTTGAGTGCGGTCCCTTCCAACTTCTATTAGTTCCTTACGTTTAATTTCACTGCCTACTTGCGTTCCCTGAATTGTCATTAAGCCCACTTGCATCTCAACTGAGTTCTGTTAGTTTTTTTCAAAGGCCCCCTTGAACTTACATTCAAGTGCGTACGGTCTTCTTAGAACTCTTCTTTCAGCGGTCCAGCTTAGCAGAACCACAATACTTTTAATTAATTGGAAGCGAAATTTCATTTTCTGCCTCTAGCGCTTCATCTTCATGTCTTTGATGAGTCTAGGAAAGAGAAAAAGACTGTTTCCACTGACACCCTGAGTAACATCTCCAACCCTGGTTTAAAAGGGTGATGTCTTTGCTATGGGGGTAGAAACACGATGCTTGGGCAGGTCATGTTATTTTTGGCTTATCTATGGATGATAATTTTTATGACCTGATTCTGCAACTCACTAAACTAAACCACTTAAATAAGTAACGTACCTTTCATAGTTTGCAAAAGAATCTAGTGCATCACTCCATGTATCAGTGGTAACTGGATTCACCAAAACCATGGCTGTTTCGTCTGGTACATCATACAGATAATTCGGGTAACAGTATTCATCTTTAAGGCAGGTCACCTGTAAAAATCAGGTCATTAGTTCATGAGGGTCAAGATTCTATTAAACAAGTCTTGGGAGGTGTTGAAGTTAAAATATTGGATCGATTACTCAGCAAACAGGAAAAAAAACACTAAAAATGTTGCCTGAACACTTTAAGTAACAGGATGGTAGAATAGTGCTAGATCCACACTGTTCAGTAGGAAAATCAAGGCCATATAGTTCCAAAAATTAGCATAAGAGGCTAAAAATGAAATTTAATCACTAATCAGTGCAAGACTGAGGAGAGAGTCTTTAGCCCAGGCAGATGCATTGAAATACTATCCTAGGGTGACGCTGAGAGATTTAGATCAGTTTGGGTCTTTTTAGACCTACTCAGTAGTAGGGGTGTTCAAACGAATCTTGCCGGAACACTATCGATATCGTCTCTTATTGAAACTGGCGGCAGTACCGACAGTGACGATGATATCGTTAACAGCCGGCCTTACGGATTTTTGAGAGCTCGCACTCAATGTATTGTTGCCCCATGCGTCGGTTTATCAGATTGCCTGGCGCTGCGGTGCGTGAAATAGATTTACAAATGGCAACAGCTTATTTTCGTCAGTTCCGAAAATTCTGATCGCTATCGGTAAGAGCGCTCTTATCGTAACTTTTTCTTAACGGAACTGTTTCAGTGGCTTACCGACAACCAATAGAACAGCCCTACTCAGTAGATGAGACTCTTCAGTGAGCCCAGTTTAGCATCCTGCAAAACCCTAGACAGCATTAAAACGCCATCATGAATATAAAGCCAGACATGACACAAGAGTGCCACCTTAAGGTGCAGCTTATTTCCGTCATGTAGGAAAATCGACAAGGTCCAGGTGGCAAACGGTTCTATCTATGAAAATAATGGGGTGTATGAAATTTGAGCCAATTTGAAGCTTTTGTAGATGATGTTTTAAGGGATCAAAACCACGGGCAAAATTACATTGGTTTCAATGGGCGGAAAAACGCCTGATCTGCGAAAATGCGCTTAAAAGAAGAAAACCTGACCAGCTCTTAGAGAGGCATCTAGGAGCCCATTCGAAACGAAGAAATCACAATTTTAACCCATGAATGGGAGCAGGGGGGTCACGGCGTAGCCAATTTTGAGGCGCCGCACCCGCTGCTGAATGATTGCTTTTGAGACTTTCTGATTAAACTCAAAATAAGTGTTCCGAAGTTGAAGAGGCTTTAACTCACAACTTGATGAGAAATAATGTATAATAGTTGTTTTAGCCCTTGAAAACTATATTTGGCCCTTTACAATATTGCCGCCCATACTGTTTCTCGAGCCTGGAACGAAATTGGAGTATATATTTTATCTTGCAGTCACGAAATTGGAGTAAATACTTTATCTTGCAATCTCTCGAGTGATCCCCCTACCCTCACCCATGGGTCAAAATTGTGATTTTCTCGTTTCGAATGGGCCCCTATATAACTCTCCAAAAGCTGGTCAGGTTTTCTTCATTTAAGCGCATTTTAGATCCAAAAAATGCATTTTCGCAGATCAGGCGTTTTTCCGCCCTTCAAACCAATGTAATTTTGCCAGTAGTTTTGATCCCTTTGAGCATCATCTAAAAAAGCTTCAAATTAACTCAAATTTCATACAGCCTACTTTTTTCATGGATAGAACCGATTGCCACCTGGACCTCGTCAATTTCCGTACATGACGGAAATAAGCTGCACCCTAGTGCCACCCCCACCCTCACACTATCAGCTATTGCTGCTGAACAACATTCTCGTTCGGTAGTGGGCAGTTGCATCTGCTCTTCAACAGCGATGGCAGAGGGTGCGAAGATGGCACTTCAGTGTCATGCCTCGCTTCATATCTATAGTGGTGTTTAAATCCTGCCTAGGATTTTGCAGGATGCTAAGCTGGACTAACTGATGCGTTCTAAAAAGACCCGACCTGGTGTAGATCTCTCAGCAAGACCCCATCTAAGTATTCCAATGCATCTGCCTAGGTTGAACATTCTCCCCTCTCAATATTGCACTGATACTCATTAGAGACCATTTTGCTTAAACTTTAATGCTGATTTTTTTAATATTTTGGCCTAGATCCCCTCACAGAATAGTGTGGACCCATCTTTATTCAACCATCCTATTACTCAGCAAATATATAGCTGCTTCCTTGATTACTGAATTTTAAAGGCAGTCCAGACTTTTGAATGGTCCAGCAGTATATGACTGGCTAGAGTTTAAAAATGAGTATCTCCAATGAGATGTTTTCAGATCTTTGCTAGTGTTTTATTTAGATGAGAAAATCAACCAAAAGATCTTAAAATTGACTGTAAATATTTGTTTTTAATTAAGAAAATGCAAAGGAAATGTCAAGAAAAACGTCTGTTAGTTTTCTTTAGAAACAAGACAATAGAGGCTGGACTTGCTACGTCACAATTGTAGGTACCTATGCATTTCTTGACGTTAGCCATTGATATCAAACTGATAAACACTATGGCACTAGTAACACATCTTGATTGGAAAATGAGGTACAGGGGTAAAAAATACCTGCATAACAAAAAGATGCAGGGGGTTGTTGCGAAAACGTTGTCATAATTTTGCTGCCAAAAATGACCATGCAGCATTGCATTTGTGACATGGTCGCAAAAGTATTTTTGATCTTTGCCGGGCAGGTTCCTCCTTACAGGATGGTTTGACAAAGAGTCAGAAACTTAAATTGAAAGTACTCACAAGATAGCAACTTTGTTTGTGCATAAAGGCTACATTGCAACCGTCTGTAATGCAGCAAAGTAAAGTGCACGCTTTGATTGTGTGAGCTTCGAGTTGTTTGGCATAGATGTTTACAGAGAAGTTTCCTCGTGGTGCATACTTGGTGAAAATTTTATGCACAAGTCGCGGACAGCTCCGATACATATTGGTGTCATGTTCACTTGTGCTCCATGCTTGAATGATGCTCAACCAAGATAAAATGAACAGAAGAAGCATTTTTTGGTTGTGTTCCTAGAAAGTAAAAAAAAAAATTATCAGCATTGCATCAAAATTGCAGTTTTTTGCAAGGAAAAAAAGCTTTCAAGTTTATGACAAGAAAGATACATGTTTCAATTTTTTATCACGTTCAATTTTCATGCAGAAAAAAAACTTTCTTGGGTTTTCATCAAATTTTTTCCTCTTTTCTTTCAATGGCGGTTCAACAAATATTTACAACAAACAGCGTACCTACGAAATTGAGGGTTTCTTTAAAAAAAAAATGCAGGAACTTCAGTAACACCATGTTTGGGAAAAATATTTTTCTGCTATCACCAACATTAGAGACTTAATTAGATCAAATATGGTGCGAGTCTTTTAAAATACAAGAGGGAATCATAGTTACACCCTCCCTTAGCAAGATTTGGAGTATCATCTAAAAAGACATAATTTTCAACCTAGAGTTTAAAAGAAAGGTTATGATCATTTAAGAGAAACAGAAAAAAAATCATAGGTATCCATAAGATGTTCTACTCAAATGCAGTAAAGGCTAAACTCCCATGTACCTCCAAAAAATTGAAATAAAAAAATTGGAGTATGTACTTAAAATTCAGTCACCATGCGTTAGGGCAGTGAGCAGCATGAGTGAGGAATGAGGAGTTGGACTACTTATATTAAATCCTTATCAAATGCACATGGACAGCTACTTCCTTTCAAATAGAAAGCGACGAAAAATAGGTCAGCAACCATCAAAGGGAACTTGATGACAATCATAGCACAAAGGGATATAGAAGGAAATTGGTGTGATTTGAAAAATGGCATTAGGAAAAATAAAAATAGAATAAGAGGTGCTCTCAAGAATATCGCACCATTGGAACTGAATTAAAGCATTACAATGCAAGAATAGGTATTGTCAAATTATTACAATTATTTTAGTAATAATATTGAACCTATTTTTTTCAACATTTGACACAACCTTTTTCTTTAACTGAAAAAAAATGAAATTTTAGTGAGAGGAAAATTGAAATTTCTTAGGGCCTCAACATTTGGGAAATTCATGGGAAAGAGGGAATACTTTTTCTGTGCCACTTTTCGACTAAAAAGCATACAAAATTTTTTAAACCTAACTATGGTCCCAATTTAGGGAAAAAGTTGCTGAGGGAAACAGAAAGATATCCAAATATTTCCCTTTTCTTTAGGAAAAAAAATTAGTCCCTCATGGTCTAAAAACTTTACAAACACCAATCAAAAATTATGTGGTCTCATTACAATTCTTGACCAGCCGGAATCCCATTAAGATTCTAAGCGGCTCAGATTCAAATGACTTGGAAACTTGTGTAAACCCGTGCACCGCTAACGTAATTGATGGAGCTGTGTTGGTGCATACCTTAAATAAATCAAATGCTAAAACATTCTCCGAATTCTCCATAAAAGTTTTTCAGTCAGCAATTAAGCGCAAACTGCAGAGCTTTGACAGGGTTGATATTGTTTTCGACAGAAATCCGCCTTTTATAGCTTAAAATCAGACACAAGAGAGAAAAGAGGGTCCGGAAGAGAAATTCTCGTAAAAGGTTCAACGCCTATACCGAAAAATTTTGGCCATTTCTTGCAAGTTGATCGTAACAAGACTCAGTTATTTCAATTACTCGCACAAGACATCAAATCTATGGAGACAATGGGTAAGATCGTCATTTGCACTGATGACGTATATCGATCGTTTCAGCTGGAAATTTGGTTTCAAGCGCCGATATTTCACCGTGTTTCCACGAGGAGGCAGATACTAGACTTTTCATTCATATTAAGAATGCTGTTCTATCTGGTCATAAGTTTGTACTGCTCAGTACTGTAGATTCTGATGTCATCGTGATTGCAACTTCTATGTTCCAAACTTTGAAACAATTCGGTTTGCAGGACCTGTTCGTAGAATATGGAGTTGGTAAAAATAGGAGTTTAATGCAAATTTCTAAATTAACATCGAAAATCTCGCCGGATATGCGCAACGCACTGACAATCTTCCATGCGTTTACAGGTTGTGACTTCGTATCGTCTTTCTACGGCGAAGGCAAGACGAAGGCGTGGAATATCTGGAATAAATTGGAGAATGATTTAACTGGAACATTTTTCAGGCTTTCATCGTGTAACGAAATTTCTAATAATGATTTTGAAAAAATTCAGCTCTTCACTATTTTTATTTATGACCCGTCCAGCCAGGCAAAATCCGTCAATGAATGCAGGAGAGTCTTGTACACTCAAAAAAATCGATTGGTTGAGACATTCCTCCCACTGAGGAAGCATTGCGCCAGCATTTGCGGAGAGCAATGCTCCAAACTCACATTTGGAAGCATTGCTTGGAGCTGAATCCAGTTGTTCCCGACGTGAAATCTTGGAGTTGGACAATTAGAACTGAGACCACTGAGGGACTTGCCATCAAGCCACTGTGGACCACCTTATCAGAGGCTTCGAAAGAGTGCCACGAGCTAATATCTTGTGGATGTAAAACAATGTGTATAAAAAATTGCAAGTGCCAACGCTTTAATTTAAAGTGCACAGCACTTTGTTTATGTGATGGGCAATACTCATAAAGGTTTGCATTTCCAACTTACTGGCCCGAAGCACTCTAATTTTGAATCCATCTTTCAAACAACCGCACTAATATCATACTAGTTTATTGCAAAACTTAGGTCATGAATACCAAAAGAATTTATCCTCTCATGCCAAACATTTGGACTGCATTTTGCGATTTGGAACTATAAATTCTGGCTCTTCTTGAAAAACACGGATAAGCGTAGGGAAACTAATGGCACGTATGTTGGTTTAAAAGCGGGCTAGAATTTATAGTTTCAAATTGCAAAATGTAGTCCATTTACTCTTCCGTCAAAAATGTATTTTATTAACATTTATTTGTATTTTATACTTCCTTTTATTTTAGTTTTTTTGCGAGACTGTTGCAATACACCCAACGGGTTATACACCCACCCTGTTGGGTGTATTTAGTTAATTTCGTTTATTGTTGTGATAACAAAATTATAATTATACAAATTTAATTTTTGTCACGCTGATTTATTTCTACTTGGAGGCACCCTGATGTTTCTACGGAGAAACAGAATTACGTACATACTAACCTGTCAGGACTGACTCTAATTTTCTACCTGTTCGTGACTAATTTTGTATGTTCATTCATGACAGTTCATACTTAAATATTTATTTCTTATTAATTCTCTATATAAGGTGCTTTACCTACTTTGGTTTCAAAGTCTATAACTACCAACCTATCCAGAGCACAGCAAGTAAAAAGGCAGGAAGATTCAAGTGTCCAGTTATTAATTGCTTGATTACCAGAGGGCGCAAGGCCTCGGGTGATGACGCGCGCCCGCCGGAACAGCGAGTTTTTCGCAAGACAGCTGAGGAGCAGAGGAGCGCGCAGCAGCGCGGCGGGCCTCCCCCTCCCTTCTCTCATATTATTCACGTATGAGTACTTCATTCATACCGCTTTTTCACGCTGAATCTTTTTTAACTAAGAAAATTTTTTGATATCTGCCGCCGTTCTCGAGATATTTTGAAAAAACCCGATTTTGGCCGCCATTTTCGAAGATGGCGACCAAAAGGGGGGGAAAACGGGGGGAGCGCGGGTGACTCTCGGTGGTTTCTGAATCAGGAGGGTCTAACGGTCATTTTAAGACCAAAATCACGTTGGTAGCCGGAAACCGCGTATCATCTTGCATTTATGAGCTAAGCGACCACACTAATACACAACTAACCAATTTCGAGGTTGAAAATTTGTGATGAGGGTACCATTTTCCTCAAGACAGTAGTAGGTAGGTGAAGCTTTTTTGTGGAATAATATTGACTTACTGTTGTTTGGTCTGAAAAAACATCACTTTTTGCATACTATTTCACTGAATAGGATATTTAATTTAAATTAAATTAGTCAAATTTTGAAGGAAAGTCCATTACAGAAACATCCGTCTCTTTAGCAGAACACAGCAGAATGGTGCCTCATACCAACCAATTCTCTTCTTGCATTGAAATAAATCCCGTGATATGGAAAGCCAGAACCTAATACCTACCATTAAAACTGCAGATTTTAGAAACCTACATTTCACTGAAGCTGCTTTATCTATGCCGTGATTGAAACCTTAGTTTGCCATTGAAGTGAGGTTTTGAGCCTCACATAGATCCATCTTCGTCAGTATTGATCTTTAGGAACTAAAAATGTGCCGGGTAATTCATTCCACTTATTAAAAATCCTAAGTAAATCCTTAAGAAAAATAAAAAATGAAGGCTCTCGTAAAAATATTGGATCATGGTAGTGATGAAGTTGTAATACTGAAAAAAACAAGATACTCAAGTTAATTTGATCGCTTGTATAGTGCGCCTATTTCTAGAAAATTCAGTGAAATATTTCATGGAGCACAATTGAGTTGCAATGTGCTAGAGCATCAATGAAGTCAAGCCTCGAACAATGCGTTTTTAGCCTCCTACTCGCCAGAAGGTGGGAACCATCTAAGAACTATATAGCATTTTATAACACTGCAACGTAAGGAAGAACCTCAGGTTGCGAGTGATTTTTTAAATGTCATAATTTCAAATGATGGTAACTTTGGCGAATTTGGGAAAGTCAAGTATATTGACCAGAGACATAACAAAGTAAAAACTGTAGGACACTCCTGGTTCTTGAGAAATACATTTTATACCTGTATTTTCTGAGCAAAGCCCGGCAGCCTGTTGTTGAATTTATGTCGTCACGACAAGAATCGAAAATCGACACGGCACAGATAGGGGGCTATGTCCCCTAGTAGCAATGGCTATTGAGAAAAGTTGTAAAAAACTCGTAAATTTTAAGAGATCTTCTAAAATTTACTTTAAAACCACTTGAAAATTACATAGAAAAACTCTTGAAATGATCGTATAAGGAAACCCTTTTAGGGGCTTTTTTTTACATAAATTTGAAGAAAAATTTTAGGTAAAATTTAAGTACCTATTTTTTTTTTAGCTTCCTGCAGGCAAAAACTAGGAAAAAAAGTGGTGAACAGAAAAGTTCAAAAGGAACAGTTGCAGCCCATAAAAATTGAGGATACTTATAGTTTATTGATTTTTACGTAAATTTTCCATTTTCTTTTAATTAAAATGACACTATTTTTTTACGTAAAAGAATTCCCCAAAAGGGTTTGCTAAAACGAGTAGGTGTTTCGAGAGTTTTTTTACTTAAAAATTTACAAGTTTTTTACATTTTGTTCATAGAGTACAATAGAGTCGAAATGTACTGGATCGCCAATGAAGTCACTTTTCGAGGCTGTTTTGTCCAGTTCTCCGGGGACTAGTGTGCGGCGACTAGCGATGACGCATACGCAGAGACTCGCGCTCAGCGCACCCCACTCCCGACTCGGCTCCATTCGTCGGCTAGGTCCACACACATTGAACCAGCTAAGTAGGCCGGTAATAAGTCTGAAATTGAGTCCATATATGAATATTATCCAGGAGTAACATACATTAATGGATTCATTATGGCTTTGAATATCTAATAATAGCAAAATTTGCAGAAATTAATATAGATGGAATTAATAAAAGTCGAAAAAACACAAGCAGTTGTTGATTTCTCCAAAAGCCACCGTGTTAGAAATGCCGGTTGGTTCACACTTTGTATAAGTCAGAAATTAAATCCCTGTATGAATAAAATCCAGGAGTAACATACATGAATGAATTCATTATGGCTTTGACCATCTATTTTTGGCAAAATTTGCACAAATTAATATCGATTGACTTAAAAAATGTCGAAAAAACATGAGCAGTCGTTGCTTTTCCTGTAAGCCGCCGTGATAAGAAATGCTGGTCGGTTCACACTTGGTTTAAGTCTCAATTTATGTCCCTTTTGGAATATTATTCAAGAGTATGATACATAAATGGATTCACTATGGTTTTAACTACCTGTTTGCAGCAAAATTTGCAAAAATTAATTATGATTGAATTAAAAATGCCGAAAAAACACAAGCAGTTCATGATTTCTCCATAGGCCACAATGGTGATAAGTGCCGTTGAGTTCACACTTGGTTCACACTTTTCGGAGCACAAGCGGCTCGGAAAGACCCGTTAATGGATTGACTTCATCGGCGCTCTAATACATTGTGACTCTATTGTACTCTATGATTTTGTTGGACAAGTTTTTGTAGAACTTTTTTTAAGAGCCATTGCTACTAAGGTCTTGTCTTATCGTGCCGACATAGCCAGTTAAAGTTTCAAAATTTCAAAAATCGGGCTGGAGAGCTAGGATCTCACACATACAGCATTGCCAGTTGCCGCACACTAGTCTCAGGACTACTGGACAAAACAGCCTCAAGAAGTGACTTCATCAGCCCTTGAGTAGATAGCGACTCTGATGAACTCTCTGAATTTTTCTCTGCCCTGGTTTCTTTTCTGTAGCCATTTCAGTTTCTTCGGTCTTGGAGGGTATTAGATCAAGAGCTTTTGAACAGCATTAGACGATGTAGCTAAAATTAGTACCTAAAGTAAATAATGAATAATACAAACCTCTGGACTAAATTTTCACTTGAGGGAACGATGCAATGAACAGAAAGAGAGGCATCACAAGAAAATTAACCACTAGAAATGTATTGCATCAACCGCGTTACGGAAACCCGTGATAACATGAGGAAATAAAACGGACGCAGAGGATCGATAATGGAAATCGTTCAAAAGAGAGATAATAGACCGTATTCGATAACGGTTCGATGTATCGTTTGGTTCAAAACAATAGAACATAACCTCAAACCCAGCTGGAAGGATTTAAGTCGGAAAAGCCGAAAATGAGAAATTTCCTGACAATTTCACTTTGAATTGGCATTTGGTACTCAAAAGAATGAAAAATCTGTTACAAAAGACCCGTTTTCTTAGATTTCTGAATTTAATTTTGAGGCTATGTTTATGTTTTGAACCAATCGATATCGATACAATCTCACCCGTTTGATGTATCGAATACGATCTATATTCTCCGCGCGCAGAAAAATCGATATATCGAAAAAGTGGCGCGCGGAATTATTTTCTGGTGCAGCGCCGGAAAAAACAGTCGGCCAGCAGGAATCGATATATCGAAAATTCTGCGCGCGGAACAGATTTCGGAGCGCCGCGCCGGCGGCGAGCAGGAATCGATATATCGAAAATTCCGCGCGCGGAACAGATTTGGAGCGCCGCGCCGGAAAAAATAGTTTTGACACAAACGGTGCAAATATATCGAAAACCGGCGCGGAATCCGGAAATTCAGAGATTTTCATCGAAAATGGGTTTTTTCTTTCCGCGCGCCAGAAAAAATTCCGCGCGCGCACGAAAAGGGTTTTGACACTAACGGCGTTCCATAGTTAAGGTATGGAACGCCGTTAGTGTCAAAACTCTTTTCTTGCGCGCGCGGAATTTTTTCTGGCGCGCGGAA